AAATTAAATTAAAATTAATTTTTAAATTAAAATTAAAATTTCGTCATAGTTTTTGCAGTCAAATTTCAGCGTGAAATATGACTCGTTACAGCTATAAAAGGACAACGGCTTGTTTTAAGTTGGAATATAGCAATGCCTCCACATCGACATACTAGAAATCAAATTTCGAGCGAAGTGAAAGAGCATCTTGTAAGAGCGGTTGCTGCGGAATGTCACCTGTATTCTGGCCGTATCACCAAGGACTGGAGGAATGAATGCTCAGAGGTTTGCCAACTTCTTACTTCTTTTAAACCAACGACTCCCAGCTAATGGTAACGTTTATTTCATCTACGACAATGCACCAGCCCATCGAAACGCAAACAACCCAGGTCCTAACAGCCAGCTCAAACCACTACCTCCATACAGCCCATTCCTCAACATTGTTGAAGAAGCTATTAGCTGTTTCAAAGGAGCTATAAAAGCTCATTTATCTCAGCCAGCACAACAGCGCATGATGAATAATAGAGACGAAGGTAGAAGACAAGGCCTTCCACTTGGCGATTGGAGAAAACAACTCCTACTCAGAGCTGCCACAAGAAACGTTAATGCCATAACACCTCAAAAAGCAGTCCAGTGGTACAACCATATGCAAACTTATTAATTTTTGTATGTAAAATATCACACTTATTAAACACCCTTTAAATCCTAGAAATAAAAACTATGACGAAATTAAATGTCCGTATTTTGGTATTKYATGTTKGYTGTAGTTTATTGAATGCACATAATGGGCTAATGAAGGTTTGAAAACGTTAATGAATCTGCGCCCAGTTATGCATGATTGTCTATGTCTATGCTAAATATGTTAATGATTCTCCCTTCACGCTCTTGAAACYCCCTAAGCGTTAATGAACGTTCGTTCGCGCTAAAGACAATGTAGTTTCGCTTGATTGAAAGTTCCTTCGCGGTTAATGAATATCAAAAGGTGTACTAAGAGGTGATGATTATCATAAAGACGGAGGCAGTAGATCTGAGGAAAAAATGGGGTTTTGAAAAGCTGTCCATAAGTAAAACTGTTTGCTTACAGGAGCGTCCGTAAGTAGAGGTTTGACTGTATTCCTAAAAGTGACACCAGGCACAAGGTCCTTGATGCAATGTATTCTATGCATCAGTCTATCCCTCCATTCCACCCTTCCTCCTTAATGCCCCTTCTAAAAAAATGTCAAATGGAGACCCCCTACCAGGGGTCCATCTCACCACTAGAGCGTATTTTTGACATTTTATCCCTTAGCTGGTTCAAGTTAACAATAGAAACAAGTGAAGTGTTGTTTCCATTCCAGGACAGATGTTTCAAAATACCTTGTCACCAAACGTGATACATCAGGAAAGCACACAACTTTACCGGCTTGGGAGTTGACTGAATATCCTTTTGATGACATGGTTACATTTTACATAGGATGTAGTTTTACATTTGACAATGCCTTGATAAATGCTGGCATACCAATACATCATGTGGTCAAGTCCAAAAATGTTGCCATGTACAATGCAAACATCAAATGTAATCCTGTAGGACCTTTCTCATGTGACAAGATGGTGGTATCCATGAGATTAGTAAAGAAAGATGATGTTGAAAAAGCAGTAGCTGTGACAGCCAAGTATCATGAGGTTCATGGTGCTCCAATACATATTGGTGATCCTAAGATGATTGGAATAACAGATATTTTCAAACCTGATGCTGGAGACAGCCCAGAGATCAATGATGATGAAGTTCCTGTGTTCTGGGGATGTGGTGTTACAACATCTGTAGCTATTAAAAGTGCCAGTTAGTATTCATTCACTCATTGTAGCRTTGTGTGGCTTTGTTTTCAGATAATAATTATTACAACAATGATGTTCATTAGAGAAAAAGCAATGATAACAAGACAAGGTTTTTACTTGACGTTTCAATAATTTTGAAAATGACAGAAGTTTGTGTTGAAACGTCTAGTAAAACTTGTCTTGTTATGGTGACATTTATCTCGAAATGTTTTTTGACTAATATTTTGATAATTGTATTCCATCCTTACACATGTTTATCCTTACACATGTTTACATGCTTTACAGAACCTGATATTTGCATTTCTCATTCGCCTGGATGCATGTTTATATTTGATATTGATGTGAAGGACTTCTTCAAAGAGCATCCACCTCCACATGGCAATGAACAACCTAAAGTAATTTCATTGCAAGATGACCCTTACTATGCCTGTATTCTTGGTGAACATGCCTTGGATAAAATCAACCAGCTAGAACAAGTCATTCAAGATGATCCTGGTAACAGAGGAATAAAGCCTCTTCACAAACCAGGGGAGCTTGTTAGAGCAGCTTTAAGGTTGTCTAAAGCAAACTCGATTGCTATAGTTACAGGTTTCCCTGTCAAATGTGGGAATGACTACCTCCCTGAAACAGATGGACCATTAGGTGCACTAACAATGGCTAAAGCTTTCCTGGCTCTTGGCAAAAGTGTTACACTTGTTGGAAGTCATTACACTACTAATATATTCAGAGACATTGTTCAAGATAGTGTTGATGCAAAGATTATTCCAAAAGGTATTGCAGTTGAGGAATTCACTCCCTGCACAAGTAAACCACCTCAAAAATCAGCCTGCGAATTTCTCTATCATGATCAAGATTGCACAAAACCACGATTTGATGCTCTTGTTGCAATAGAAGCATTAGGAAGAACAGAACATGGTTATTACAAGTCAATGCATGCTAGGGATTTAACATCTATCTGCAAGATCAGTCCCGTTGATGAAMTCTTTATTCAAGGTATTGTCATAACTGAAAATACTATTGGAGCAACTTGAAAGATTGCTTCTCAGGGTCCTTTTAAAAATGGGGTTCTTACCCTATYGCTGACAGACATGCAAATCACACCATCAATATAGGTCCTTATCTCAGTTTTTTCAGATGGATTCACACACACAGCCTTTTAATTGATTATTTGATGTGTATATAAATCCCCCATTTCATCCTTTCAAGATTCTCTCTTGGTCAACGTTTTCAAATATATTGCACTCGATGTGAAAATATAACTTTTGATTGTTATTTTTAGCTCAATGTAAAGGAGGTATCTCAACAATTGGCATAGGTGATGGTGGAAATGAAATAGGCATGGGTAACGTTAAGATGGAAGTTCAACAACATATCAAAAATGGTCAAGAAATTGCATGTGCTGTGACTGCTAATCACTTGATAACTGCTGGTGTGTCTAACTGGGGTGGATCAGCACTTGCAATGGCAGTATTTATATTACAAAATTGTCTTCTTCATTCTCGCTATCTACATCATGGAATTGGTGAACACYGTCCAGTCAAACAGGAAGATATGGTGAATTCTTACCAACAGGTACGTTTTATWTTGTAAGAGTGTTTATCTTATTTTGTTTTTATCTAACCACTAAAGAGGGATATGCCTTAAACTGGAAAGACAACAAGGAACAATCAGGGATTGTATTTTTGTACAATAAATTATCTGCCAAAGTTAAGATTATGACTACCTAGATTTGAATGAGTTGATAAAGAACAAAAAGAAAGAGTGTAAAGTCTAATATTATTTTACATTTTTTTTTACAATTATTTGATGGTTTAAGGAAGACCACCATTCTAGCAAAATGAATAATTCTGTCATCAAATTCCAATTTTTATGACCTTGATTAACAATGCTCCCTAAGGCAAAAAAGAAAGTCTTTTACAACTTCTTGCCACATTTCTTTAAAATCATAGTTACTAACTTTGTCCACATTGTACTTTATTTTACAGGAAGAGAAACTTCTGGAGTTGATTATATCTCGTGGTTGTGTTGATGGTGTACTAGCCAAACCTGGTATGTTGGTGGATGGAATCGAATTTAATGACACTCACAAAACTATCACAGAGAAAATGTTCTCAATATTGTAAATTACTTTCAGAGAAGAAATAATAAGATTTTTTAAAAAGGCTTCGCTGTTTATATTTAATTTCAATTAAATTGTCTAAAAAAAATAATTTTTTTCTTGATTCTTTATTTGTCCAGTGTCCAGTTATGTTTGARGATGTCTGAGGTTATGYAAGTTATGGATTCCATGTCGATTTTTTCACCGTCTTTTCCACTACCATTCAGTGTCCGATCAGGATGTTCAGTCGTACAGATATTTCATTAACATTTTGCARTATGCAATACCAAAAATCTTGTTTCCCATACATTTGATTCTAGCATTTTACACGTGGTTTTCTTGTGTCAACTTTGTTTCTGCTTGTGTGTCCCCTTGCTCTTRCACACCACACGTAGACGTCCCTTTCTTTTCACAAATCTACAAGATGGACATTTCAGCTTCAATGCAGTTCGTATTCTGTAAGTTCTRACTGAGAGTAGTGTATGAGCAAGTCCAAAACTACGCACATTTGTAAATATACGTCCAGCAATTCCACCAAACATTTTACACAAGCTATTATTTCAATATGGCGTACTTGCAAAGTCGATCCACACTACGCTCTGCCACAGAAAAACACAGGGACCCCATAAAAGCCTCATGGACTTTCGTTCCAAAAAAAATACATCTATCTTTAGAGTTAAAAATATTTTAAACGTCTACTGTATTGTTAGTTTCGCATAAAGATAAAAAATGTGTTTTTTACCGGTGAAAATCCAATTCGATTTTCTTATTGGTTTGTACGGATTGTCATTTTTAATTGTTTCTTAAGATCTAAAATGTTTTGCTTCCTTAGTGAAATTTTCTGTGCACAGCATGTGGATTTCCTGTCTGTCTTAATAGTCTAACTATATATTACTTTTTTTCCTTTTTCCAAAAGCAGCTGTTTTTCGATTTGCGCGCGCGAGTTTTGTGTTCAGCTGTGTCACGTGACATGTTCCATAGCAACGTTCTAGTTGTCAGCTGAAGGACAAGCTTCATAACAACAGATGCGAAAATGGCGGATGTTAAGTACAAATTGGCTCGTTGTGTCAAAACAGGACCACCTCAGAGGAGCCCAGAAGAGTTACGAAGACTTGAAAAGGGATTTGTGCTCGATAACATTGCTGTGGCCACAATGTCGGACGATTCAGGCCGCGCGAATCCAAAAATGAGCACTGCCATTCCACCGTACAACGCGCAACTCGATCGCCATACAAAGCTCTATTTCGAAAAGAAACTTGTCCAGAGATTGTTAACAAGAACTCAACAGGTATTTTTTCATCAAATTCGTATATAAATATTGTCTTTACAGCGCTGTAACTGTGTTAGGGTGAAATTTCTATTTTTTTTTTCTTCTACAACTATGGCTACACCATGTGGTTTCCGTCATGAATTTAGGAAAACTTCAGTATACTAAACTTTTAAAAACTGTTGTTTTTTTCCTCATGTGATTTAAATGTCAATTAGTAAGGTTGAATGTAGATATATCAAGAACTTAAATTGTTTCAGTGTTGTGATTTCTACATTTTTATATCACTTAGCTGACAATTAGCAATCTTAATTTGTCATTCTTAATGACTTGTGTCAACAAAAACTAATGAATCATGCAGTTCTGGTCTTAGAAATGTATTAGTTTAAATKAATATATCATGTCTTGATTTCTTTAGCCCCCTCCAGGAGACTCTATCTCTGGAAAACAAATGGATAAATTTTACAGCAAAGGCATGATGGGAACATATTTAAAGTTGAGAAACAGTGCTGGTGCAGGTATGTCATAGCAACAATAAAAACATTGGTTTATCACAGGTCTTTGTTGCGCCATACTGAGATACAAAATGATGAGTAATATGTTTAACCTTCACTGTTTATATTGGAAATACTTCATCAAACTTTTATACCCATTATTGATTGCTGTTCTTGTTTCTTCCCTTTTTTTAAAAAACTATAAACACTAATTTTGAAATCAAAAATTAAACTGGACTATTGAGTTTCATAGAATGTTGTAGCAAACAAAGCTAACAATTTATTGATGTTAAAATTTTTCTAGGGAATTCCAGACCCCAAGTCAGTGGACATAGTCTGTTTTTGAATAATTTACCTCCAATTAATGGATGGCATGGGCCATTTGGCTTTAGAAGAAACACACCATGGTTAAGACGACAGCCATCAGTATTTATAGGTAAAGACTTCATGGATTACAATAAAATTAACACTCTGGACCTCATTTTCAAATCATAATCAAATGTTCTTYAGTGTTGAGTATACAAATGCATATCCCTTATTACCAAGTGTCTTTTCCATCTACATCTTTTGTGGTATATCTGTTCAGGTCACCATTTAATAAAAGTAGATGCAGAATAATCTCCATCATTTAAAGGTGTTTACATAATTACTTCAGTTTCTTATCTTCTTTAATTAATGGCCAGTTTTATTATGATCTTGACAGGAAAACTTGATAGTCGCTCTGTAGTGCCATGAAAGATAAACAGAAAAGGAACGTGAAATCCTTGGTGTGTGATCAAGATAGAGTGAGTTTTTGTTCAACATTTTGGTACCCTGCCTCCAGCATGCCTTTTATCATTGATAGTATTGCATAAGTTATTATAATTTATATAGGAACGTAAGTGATGATAATTGTGTCTGCAAGTAAGGAGAAAGAAAAAATGTTACCTGAAAAAATTTAGATCATGAAATGAGAATTTTGTAATGAGTATTGAACTGTATTTTTCTTCCATAGTGAAACAATAATATAGTACCTTATTGTTCTGGTATAGTGTACGTTCCCTTTGTCCAGCGTTTTTTTTACCATTGCCATGATTTGAAGTGGAAATTTTAAGAGAGTGTTGGGMTGGAGATAGCATTGAGTTTATCATTCAAGTATTGAGTGTCAATTACCAGTACCTGTTCATACATACACAGAAGGAATGTGTCTGTACTGAAAGTGGAGTACATAAATGTAAAGACATTTTCTAGTATTATACTGAAATTTATAGTTTTATAGTGACTCTGTAACAACCTTTATTGAATTTGAATAACAAGATCATTRAATGCAAATAAAGACATTTTTTAAAAGTTTGGAAATTAAATGTTTTTTTAAATAATATTGCACACAAAAGTATAGTAGTATTTTAATCTGCACATAATTATCAAGAATTATTTGCAGATACGTCTTTTGGAAAGTGTAGAAATGCTATGAATACATCCATTCATAAATTAATCATTTGAATATAAAAAAAATAAACTGTTTGTGAAGCGTTTCAAATCCCCTGTGAATGAAGACATTGAATTTGGTGATTTCGATTTTTTTTCTTCTTCAAAAGTAATATACACTATGTATACTTAATGAAATATTTGATATGATATCACTGCATTTTGTATTTGCACATAAAATATATTTCTTCTATGCTATTTCTTATTGCTTTTGYTTTTTTTGTTTATCTTGCATCCATTCATTCATGATTTTCTAATCCTTTTACTATTTCAACATCATTGTGGGGTATAGTTATACTTTTAGATATCTTTGTTGCTCTTGCTACTAGTATAACACCAGTATATGTATTAATCAAGTGCTTGTAATTGTATTACTTAGTGTTTTCATGCACACCAATATTCAACAAGTATTTCATTTAAAATCATTCAATTTTACAAAACTCGTAGATCACTCACAATTTTAGCTAAGAAAGTTTTCAAAACAAACTTGACATAGCACTTCCTGCCATTCTGTGYGTATTCTGTTGCATTTCTAGGTATTTATCYTCTTCTACCAGGGAATTAAGTAATGTGTTCATGTCATTWATCACCATGTTACCATTGCCTAAGCCAAAGACATTTGCATCTTGTCCACCACCAGTTGACAACCCTTCCATMCCATTTAACATTTCTTGATAGTTTGCTTCTCCATTGTGTGGTCGCTCATCACCATAGTAACCCATTACAGGAGGRGGTCTCTGTGGATAKTGCATTACCATCTGACCCTGAGGAAGAGACTGCAGTCTTTGTTGTTGTTTTGGGTAGAATTGGTGTTCTTGTCTTGAGTACTGAGGATTGTATCTTGGTAATCGACCTGGACCAGGGGACTGGCCATCATATGGTTGATAATGTAGGTTTGATGATCTGGTCACACATAGGTTTGGACGATAATGGATTGTCTGTGATTCCATAGGATGTTGGTGTGGACAGTCTTGTGGATATGGAAAATGTCTTAGAGGTTGTGTCTCTCTTGCCACTGGAGGTTGAAGTTGTTCAGGATTAAGGTAAGCGTCAAACTCATTTGGATCAACCACATCATTGATTAATTCGGTCTCACGAGGCTCAGCCTCATTAGTCGGCAAGCTAGAAGAAAGTTGCAGCTCTTGTCTTGTGATGGAACTATGGTTCTGAGCAGGCTCACTGCGCCTACGGTACTCTTCTCTATCTCTTTCCCCCCTTCCACACATGTCAGAGCTGTCTGCTTCACAAATAACAGTRTCACTTGATCTTCTGAAGGCTCTTCCATTTAATCTATGTTGAAAGGGGTCCTTTGGAAGGACATATGGCATTCTGTGAAACATTGGACTTCTGGATTGACTGCCATAACCACTGCTGCTACGACTTTGTCTATTAAACATTAAACTTTGMGAGCTTGCATTACTTGTTTCACTTGCTCTGCGTAAAACMCCGTCAGTATCGGTCATGGGGGGCAGGAGGGTACTTATAACCCGTGGCTGCAATTTGTTGACTTGTGTCATAGGTGGGTGTGGCACAAGGCTTGTTTGGCTTGATCTCCTGCTCTCATTGTTAGAAGCCCATCCACTTTCACTTGATCGCCGACTTGCATCACCTGTCAAGTCCACTGATAAGTGACTTCCGTCACTAGACCTCCTTGTTGATGTTTGACTCATGCGTCTGTGAACTGCATCAACCCAACTTGCAATATCTTGACTTTTGTTGTGGATTTTTGGTAACATAACATTTTGAGGCTGCATTTCACACACAACTGGCTGGACTGTTGTCTTAGCACCTTCATTAAAACCTGGTTCATAATCTCCTTCGGCAATCCCAGGTAAATTGGACACATAAGGACTTCTTGGTGATAGTCCTGATTGTGGGGGGTGATTAGTGACACCTAGTGATCCCTCATGATTATTTCCTGGAATGTCTACTAATGGTGATCCYACATCACAYGTAGAGCTCACTATACTAGATGTGTAACCACCAGCTTTCTTGATGGTACCACTTCCACTACCACTTCCTGGAGACTTGACATCACTTGATGGAGAGTGGATCATTGATGAATTGTTAGCATTTGASGAAGGTTGGTTTGATTGACTGGATGTTGCTTTCTTGCTATTGGGGGGTTCTTTTTCTTTGTTGGTGTCAGACTTGAGCTGCAATAAATAAGRAAATCAAATGTCATACTCAAGATGAAGATTAACATTAACTACATTTATTCATTCTAAAAAATCATGTGCATGTTATATAGTGATTTTCTAAACTCCTTCTTGCTGTAAAGCAATACTATCAACACTTATTATTTCTCTCACCCTCTTAACTCCTTCTCCATGCACTGTCTTAGTATGTTTTCGCAGAGAGCTTGGGTCTGTGTATCTCTTAGGACATCCTGGTACTTTACACACATAAGGTTTCTGCAAAAAAATATATCATCAGAAACTTGTTTGGGGCTACCTGTGTTCTAAAGTAGGTTACCACCTAAGGCTAAAGTAGTTTACAAAATGAGTGTCCAAGTAAAACAATATCATGATTCAAAACAAACAAACAAAACATGTCACCGAAGTATGGTATATCAGTTGATACTACATCGAATAAGAACATTTTGGTGACTTTGGTGCTCTTTAATTTTGCTTGTTTCTTTTGCCCTTTCTTTAAAAAATAATTGTTAGTATTTCCATATGATTTAATCAATGAGTTAAACATACCACAGATGAATGTGTCCTGTTCTGATGTTTTGCTCTGTCAGATGCATTTGAAAAAGCCTTGCTACATCCCTCTACTTCACAAACATATGGACGCTCCCCTGTGTGTGATCTAAGATGTGTTTTCAGGTTTTCTAGTCTTGAATAGGCTTTGGTACATCCTGCATACTGGAAATTAATTTGCTGATAAGTTCACAGTCCTCTTTCAAGCAACTTCTCTGTACTGTTTCCAGGAATTAATGAAATAATTTTTGCTATGCATGCTTGGTGTATTGCTTACTGCATGTTATGCCTTGTGTACTGATATGCCTGCTTGGTTGATAAGAATATTTATCATATGACCCATATTTCAGACCTACGTGCGCTCTTAAAACACCTTCGGGAAATGGTCATGTGATGGGGCCGCACACCTTTTCGCAACAGGGCTGTATCTTCCTGGCTTGAAGTTCCGCACGCTTTTATTTTTTTCCATTAAAAACTCTGTCATATGATAAAATGCTTATTGACTGAGTTAGATCAGTCTGTATGCACTTGGTCCGTACGGCATAACCTCGAGCCAAATATTTTCCCATACGGCCCTCCCACTCAGTCAATAAGTACATAGTATGTTTGATTTCAATATGCAGGTTTAGCATGTTGAATATGCATGTTATACCTGATGTACTGCAATATGCATGCACTTATAATGATGTACATGTTTGGTGTGTTGCATGGTGTCCATGTTACAATATGCATGTCAAAACTTACAGTGCAAACATGTGGCTTTTCACCGGTGTGTCTCCTCATATGCACAACAAGCATGTATTGCGCTTTAAATGGTTTCTGCTCCCGGCAACAATCCTTCCAATAGCAAGTGAAATCTCGTTTTTCTTTCTTAATGTGATCACTATTAACATGGCTGACCAARTCAGCTTGATTGTCAAAGGTTGTGGTGCACTCTCTCCAATGGCAGGTTAAGTTAGGTTCCTCTGCYTCTCCTTGGCCTTCATCAGGCTCATTGTCTGATCCAACCTGGAATAAACCACAAAACCCAYATCTGTTAAAAGACAAGTGTAAAGTTATTTCATGAAGATACCTAATATTGGTGGAGTTTACCTTCTACTGTCTTTTWACAAGATACACAGGCATGTTTTTGTTGTTATCAATTCAATGTAAACTTATGTATGCAAAAAGATAACTGTAAGTACTTATTGAAAGCACTTCAGACAACAACAGTTTTRTTTTTCTATTGCTGTTGAATTGATCATCACACACCCAATAAAGATTACTTCATAACTGTAGAGTTGTTTGGAATTCAAATTTGAAGAAACTCTAACATTTTTAGAAGACAATTTGATGTGTTCTTGCTGTATTTTTAACAGATGTTTTATCAATTAGATATCAATTGAGAGATGCTGAAGACACAATACATCATAGTAATTATCCATTCATAWAACTAAGTCAGTTATCAATACCACATGCAGGTAACATCATCAACATCAATCTAATTACTAGATATTTTTAAATACATTTTGTCTTTATGGGATGGAGGGCTTCGAAACTCAATTAAAAAGTTTTCAAATTTCACCATTAAGGTCAATGTAGATCTATCAAGTTGTCAAAACAAGGCACATATATGCATTCCAAATAGAGACTATCTAGCCACAGCTATTCTTACAATGTAGGATATTTGACATAGTCGTATATATCTTCAAGTGAATTACTGTTTAGTGAATTTTTAGGATATTTCATCAGCAATAGAAAGGCAAGATTCAACTGAATCATGCATTACAAAAACTATTAATTATTTCATCATTTWTCAAAATAATAAGATTACAATTGTAGAGGTTTCAGTAGTATAAAATGTTGCCTAAAATTGGTTGACCTCCGGTCCATTCAATGGCCTTAAAACATAATACCTACTAGTGATCTGTTAGGTGATGAGCAATTGCAACCAAACACACCTAAGATAAAGACCTTTTGAATGCACTTAGGTTTTCAAACAAAAGAATTGTTATGATAAAACATAGATTGATAAAGCTGATAGATTTTAAGTTTTGAGCAAACATTAAATGGAAGGGTTATTTCAAGAAACAAAATTATGATAGYAGTATTAGAGGTGTTAGGACCATATTGTAGGCATTAAAACTGTGAATGACCACTCTATTAGGTTAGAGATCTTGTTGGTGTGGCTTGTGGTGATGAAAGCTACACAGCAGACTGTTCAAAACATCAAAGAGGCACATAAATAGTTTGTCTACAAAACAGTTGATATTTTGCTATGTCATTAATATCCCAACTACAAATACAAAGTACTAGTTAATGTAGGTGAAAAATGTTGGTCTTCTAAGTTCTATGAAGCTAGATTGTTAGATTTATATGTATATATAAGTGTGACATTTTACAAAATCCTGATATCATTTTGTGTTATGTTATGTTATGTTTTTATATGTACATATATTTATATAAGTGTGACATTTTACAAAATCCTGATATCATTTTGAAAGTACAATTTGTTTATTAAAACACTATTAAAGCAACATATCTATAGTGTAGAGGTGGCATGTGCCGCACTTAGTTATCACCAAACAGTGTAAAGTCCTATATCACTTCACAGTTTGATAATGACTGCCTGACTTTCAACACATGGTAAAGGTGGAATAAAAGTCACAGGCAACACAAAGTAGGAATCACTTTACTCAGTGATTGATTCRTAAAGAGTATGTGGACTTAGAGAGGAGTGYACTTGATTGTGACAAGAGGGTGAAAAAATGTTTTASTCCAGATCAAACAAAAAAAGAATTTCAATTGAATACCTTTCTGATCGTATAGTGGGTTATTAACTATGTTCTGATTAACTGACCTTTTTTACTTTRTTGCCACCAATCTCTCAGTTAACAATTAATTAAAAATACTTTGTACTAAACTGTTGGTTCTATGCAAGGTAATCGAGACTCCAAAATTAATGTATTCCAACTTTGTTTGATTGAGTTGAAATGAGCATTATTGAAAATCTTTGTGCTTGAAAGACAACAGATATCAAGGATCATTGCAATTTGCTATTTACTATACAAACTAAAAGCAACAAATACATTAACAATAAATTGAAATGTAGTTATTGAATTGTTACAACTCAGTTTTAATTGCAGGGAGAAATTCTCAGAGTAGGTCTGCTTTGTCCCCTTGGGACAAGGTGATTACAATTCATATTCTAAAACTTGTTGCAAGAAACTAAGAACAAACAGCTGTCAAACAGAATATTATACATTTTATGCAGACCCAAAAATTTAATTTACAACTGATAAACAACATTTTATTAAAAAAACAAAAGATGTATCCATTCAATGTTGTCAAACTCCTTCAAATGTTTGCAAATATTTTGTTCTAAGGTTTTKGTGTAAGTTTTATATTACCTTGAAATACTGCAAATTAAAAATCAATATGATCAAAAAAAGGTTAGGGTATTTTTGAATGACCTTGCAGCTCTCACAATGGCCATAAAAAATCCTTAAAGCTTAAGCGCTTATTAGGATTAAACACTTACAGTATTTTAAGATAGCCTTTTGTCTAAGCAGTAATAGTGTGAAATACAAATGACTCACCTGTGCTTCAGATGCGCCTGGGGATGTAGTGGAGTCCAGCTTAGTGTCCATRGGTTCTTCTTTCATCTTTGGTGGACCATCTACTATCTTGTTATTGGGTGGAGACTCTGCACAGCTCATATCATCGGTGTTTGCTTCCTTCTTTGGTATATCAGTAGTTGACGTAGGAAAGACATCTCTTTGCTGGTCTTGAGTTGATGCCGCTGGTTGTATAGGTGGAGGTGTAATAAASGGTGGTGGTCTCCCAGCAACAGASCCAACACGATGAGACGCAGATGATGTACAGAAGCCCAGTGGGCTCAAATGACCAAAGGAACCAGCAGAAGATATCCTTGAACCTGCTAAGCATCCAAGCAGTGAATCTGGAGAGTTTCGTATTAGCATGTTCAAATCAATAGACTCTATTGAAGATGGGGTATTAGAGCGAGCTCTTTTACGATTTATGTGAGCCGAAGCCCTGGGACTTGAGATACTGGACCCACTGACATCAAGGACAGTTGATCGCAATGATGTTGCAGTAGATGGAGGTGCCCCATATTCACTTTGTACATTTCTATGTACCCTTGCAAGATACTGTGATGGAACCATAGGCTTTGAAAATTGATGATGWCCCCCTCTTGATGGCCATTCTGGTTTAGGGCAGGCAATCTGCCCATGCTGATGGGGCGGGGCATCAGGTGGAGGGTAGTAATTTCTTCGATGATAATCATTTTGCTTCATAAGAGGTGCTTGTATGGGGGTGGTGTAATTCTGAGGGTACACTGCACTATCAGGGTGGCGCCAGTTTTTGCCGGGATAATATGGTACRTGGTGTTGTGGTGGTGGTGGTGGGGTTGGATAGGCAGCATCATATGTGTAGTGGTTGTCAGGATAWGCTGGTGGATATCTTCCACTCCAAGGTATTGAATTATATCCAGAATGGCTTCTATCAAAGTCTTCTATGTGAGGAGCTGGRTGGATTATTGCTGGGGGATGATGATTAATAACTGAACCATTTATATCAAAATTTGTTTGAGTTTCTTGGTCATGTGCTTTTCCCTCTTGAGAAGATTGTCGCTGCCTTACATTGTCGTCCATTCTTAACAGCACGTCCTTACTCTTGACTAGGGCGACTTTGTATTTGGCTCGATTTCAAATCMAATGCCACAACCTTGACAAGTTTGTAAGACAGAAAAGACACTGGGTCAGTCAAACGATTGAATAAGTCCAAGTCAAAGGTKTACTTCTTAGGAAGACATTCCATTGATAAGTTTGATTAAAGTCAACGAAGGTAAACAGTTTAAGATAACGTGAGCAAACTGTTTTAATATCAAGTGATTTAAGGGAAACATTTCAATCCGTTATTAAATAATTGCGGTAAACAGAGAAAAAATCGACTCGTTGTTTGAATTGATCTTCACTRAAGTCACTAATGTACTTACATGTTTATCAAATACTGTTGGTTTAAGTATTAAAGGACAATGCAATAGATTAGGAGCATCAGAAAACTCTACTTACCGAATTTGTGGTCACATTTTYGAATTTCCACTACCGCGTGCGAAGAAACYCGACAAAACAGTCCCAATCTCAGATACTAAACAACTTACAAATGCGGTCAGGCGAGCGCCATAATGTGGCTACWGGAATAGATGTACAATACTCTTGTATTTACCGCTGCAATAGTTCGTCAATGAACAAGCTCTGGAATAAATATTAGGCATAGGAATCACGGTGTCAACTTTCCTTCGAACAGTGCAGGGGAGCCAGTCTATCAAGTTCAGCTTAAGGTTTCATATGTCAAAAGTTGACAGCCCGACGAGTAGCCTATAGGATTTCACCATACACAAGCTATTATTTCACTAAATGTTACTCGTAGAGTGATGTCATCACAGTTACCGCCCAAAACACTGAAAAGGGACATACCACGCAACACATGCTGATTTGTAAAAAAAAATCTACTTCTGACTCTGCTAAGGAAGTTTCTTTTTGTATTTTTGGGCATTGAGTATATGCAGGATAGCTTACTGTCGGAATGTGGTTTTGTATACSCTTGATAATGCCTTCAAAATCTGTAGATGATCACTCTGTGAATCTCCAGGAGATGTCTGCCAARTACATCAGACCATTCAAAAGGTCATCGATTTGTTGAATCAGAAGGACTAGAATTGAGACTCAAATGGTTTAACATAGCTTTGTTTTGTTGGATGTTTTGTGTATGGTGATATGGTTGTATAGTTGTTGATGTTGTCACAGTTGATGATGATGACGATGATGATGCTGTGCTGTTCCGGCTATTCCTGCTGTTGTTTAAGTCGATTACTTGAACTCCCTCGCTTGAACTAACAATCTGCAACTACTGAAATCACATGTTTTCTCCTCCCCCAATTACTTCATTGTTAAGAACATCAATTTTCTCGTCAGTCGATGTTTGACTAAGGACATSTGTGTTTTGTTGTTCATTTGTGAGACTTCACCTCTTGGGTTACATGTTTCGGCACGCTTTTACTTTGGAATTCGGAAGGTTTTTTCAACAAATTATCTAAACTTACAATAAACTTATTGCAGTTTTAACCTAACGTTGTAATATTGTTCTCTGCAGTCGAAATTAGCTCGTGAAACCTAAAACGCTCACSATCCGATATCATCGACAAAATTATATATTTGTTTCCTGTTYMGTTTGTTTGAGGTTTTCCGTTCTTTWCTTATCTTTTTCTTCKTGAATAGCGTGATTGTTTCTTCAATGTGTTATATTAGAGGATGGGAATTGTTTTTCTTTTACTTAGCATGATAACCTAATTTGTTTTTGTTAAGTCACACTTGGTATTAGTGAAGCCATAGTTTAATTGCTCAAGGGGCATTTGAGGAAAAAAAACTTGAAATGAAGACAATTAAAAAAATCAAAGTCTAACATTTCAGCCAAATGGCTGATTTTTTCATGCACCGGTCCATTGATTGCTAACGGCAAACCTTGTACGTGTAACCTCGACAACCGCAATAGCGCGGATTTTGTTAATGGAGAGCATCATGAAATGCTTGAATTCAAAATTAGCCTAGCATTTCAAGACGTAGTATAGAGACTGCAAATGTTTTCTTTATTACTAAATTCCCTTTCATTTGTTTATTCGATATCCATTCATCCATTCATTTTCACTAATGACAATAATATGTATACAATCGATTTCCACCAGACTTTCGTTTCTATACCAGCTACACATTTATAGGTAGCTGCAATCTCAARAATTYCCRTCCTACAYAAACTACATGTAGCTTCTCGTGATTCGATAATTTCCGTTCCCTTGGCAGGACTGTTTGCTCCAGCACWCATCACTAGTTCGCTGCATGCGTCGGCTGACATCAATGACCGGCCGCGTAGGGTGTTACAGAAGGCCCATGGGTAAAACAAATGTCCAGTGTTTAGTAGCACTGATAGACTTCGGTTTTTGAGGTCTTCGCGTATACTCTTTTGTACCGTGAAAAAGAAAAAAATTCAAACATGCGGTCACGTGCTACGAAGCACTAACGACTGCGTCCCGGCTTAGGATGTCATGGACAATGCTTCTCCATTCAAAAACACAAGATTGTTCACCGTTTTTCATTCTTTTAGAATTCATAGGCAATAGTTTATTTACACCAGATTTACACTGGTACATTGTGTCAAAAAAATATTTCGTACGTTTCGCATTGTTTTTATCCCCATGCCATTAACAAAACCCGGATCGGGATGACATATAACCAATGCAAAGTTTCTTCACACGAAATGAAACACAACAACACTATCCTTCAGGTGATCTTGCCCGTAAAAACATCTAGCACATTCGGGCATAAAAAAATCATGTAGACAAGTGAGTCCAGAATAATACTCAAAAATATTTGTACCCCCTCCAAGTTTTTCTAATGGTTTATACCTAAATATTCAATATCCACGTGTTGATAGTAAMGATATGAAGACTGTCCAGTCAACACAATCATACCCTGATCCAATATAAATGCTCTAAAATAAATGCTCTAATAATAAACACCAATATGGAATTACAGTTAAACTTGGCCTTTAATCTGCAGAGTGCTTTCAATGGGTTTAATACCGGAATATATATAACTAGACTTCGGGTTGTTGTGACTTCTGTAACAAGTGCAGGTCCAGCAGAGAGACTAATATTGGAACAATTGTTTCAAAACATTGCGACCAACATCAAAGTGACAACTATAGTACTTGTGTAGCCTCCTCAGTCATTACCAAGAGTCATGGGATTCCTGTCCTTTTTACAACCTCGTTCCCAGGGCTACTCTGCTCGCTTTTTTCAAAATGGCGGACAGAGATAGCCCCAACCAACAGCAGGGACATTTGTTGGCGCTGACCGCACGTATATCGCGGGCAACGCATGAAAGTTGACGTTTTTCATAAAAAGGCGGGAATGAAAGACTCTTGAAAATGCCTCACTTTTTGTTCAAGATCAAAAGATATTTGAGAAAATTCTA